TCGTCGAGTCCATGCTCCCCGCGCGCGCGCTCGTCGAGCGCGCGCTCAAAAATCGCGAAGCGGTCCACGCGTCGGGCGCGGTCGTCGCCTTCGAGAGCGGCGGCTGCCCCTGGAAGACGCACCTCTACGACCTCGAGCGCGAGCTCGGCGCGGGCCCCGTCCAGTTCGTCCTCTACGAAGATGCCGCGAAGATGTGGCGCGTCCAGGCCGTCACCGTCGAGGGGACCGCGTTCACGAACCGCCTCGGCCTCCTCGAGCCCTGGCGCGGGCTGCGGGACGCCGAGCTGGAGCGGGCGTCGGGCAGCCCCGGCGCCAAGTTCGTCCACGCCTCGGGCTTCATCGGCGGCCACGCGACGTACGACGGCGCGCTCGGGCTCGCGCTGTCGACGCTCGCGGCCGCGGGCGCGATCTAGGGCTCTAAAACGCGCCGAAGGGCGGCGGCTGCTTCCTGCCCCGGGGCGTCACGGGCGGCAGGTCCCGGGACAGGCTCGCCGGCGACAGGCGCGACGGCGACGGGAGCGCCGCGGGCGCGACGAGGCCGCGGCGCGCGAGCGGCGGCGACCGCGCGTCGCTCGTCGGCGCGTCGTCGTCGTCGCTCGCGTCCGGCGGCGGCGACACGTCGAGGGTCAGCGGGCTCCGGGGGCTCGCGGGCGGCGGGCCCTCGAGCGCGAGGCTCGGCGCGAGCGAGAGGTGCGACGCGCGGTCGCGGCGGCCCGGCGCGGGCGCCGCGGCCCGCACCGTCGGCAGGCCGCAGGGCCCCGCGAGGAAGGACGTGATGGCCCGGCCGTAGGCGTCCGGGTCGTGGTCGCCGCGCCGCGTCCCGCCGTCGAAGATCGCCGTCGAGTCGCGGCGCTGGAGGCCGTCGCGCGCCGCGGCCGCGCCGCGCGCGTCGAGGAACTCCTTCACGAGGGGGTCGCCCGCCGGCACGAGGAAGAGGGACGGGATGCCCGGCACGCGCCCCCCCTGGCGCGGCCCGCTCGGGAAGTCGTCGCCGAAGCGCGCCTGCGCGACGGCGGCCTCGAGACCCGGCACCGCGTCGCGCGCGGCGCGGTCCGCCTCGGCGACGAGCGCGTCGTAGGCGTCGAAGCGCTTGAGCGTCGCGTCCGGGTCCGCGAGCTCCGCGAGGAGCTCGTCGAGCGTCGCCGCGAGCTCCGCGGACGACGGCTCGTCCGACGCCGGGCAGCTCTCGAAGACCGCCGCCCGGAGCCGCGCCTGGGCAGGAAAAGCGATTCAACGTCGCTTCAACGTGAGTGTGCCGCGCGCGCGCGTTCCGGAAATAGCACCCACGCGTCGAGACCGTTCCAAGAGATGATCGCTCGTCCAAAAATCAGCCAAAACGAGTGGAACACGGCCGAGATGAGCCTTTGAAGTTGGGAATTTCGCACTCTTTTCCCGCGCGGAGCCGCGCGGCCGCCTTCGCGTGCGGCGACCGGCGCAGGCGCTCCAGCAGCTTGGCGTAGGTCCGCAGCCCCGCGTTGCCCCGCGCGTGGAGCAGGATCGGCGCCTCGTCGTCCGGGTCGTCGAGGCCGAGCGCGCGCTCGACGTCGAGGAGCGCGCGCTCGCCGGCCGCGACGCAGCGCAGGGGCGCCTGGACGAGCGTCGGCTCGACGTAGCGGATGATGTCCGCCGTGGGCCACTTGGCCGCGTAGACCGCCGCGGGCAGGTCCAGGTCGCAGAGGTCCGAGCCGCTCCATCCGAGGAGCGCGACCGCGCAGGCCCGGTCGCGCGCGCCCGGCCGCGACGACGCCACCTCGAAGCCCGACGCCGAGCTCGCGATGGCCACGAGCCCCCGCGCCGCCCGCGCGCCCGCGGCGCCGCGCTCGCCGCCCATGAACATGAGCTGCTCGATTGCGAGCTCGCGGTGCGCGCGCGACGACAGCGCGGCGACGACGAGCTCGGCCATGGCCTCCTCGGCGCTCGGCTGCTCGCCGTCGTCGCGCGGCGCCAGGAGCTGCGCCTTGAGGCTGCACCAGCCCCGCAGGCCCTCCGGCGTCACGACCTCGAGGCGGCAGACGCCGCCGACGTCGCGCTGCGGGCCCAGGGCCACCACGAACGACCCCTTGCGCGCTTCGCAGACCTTGTCGCTGTCCGTCGCGTAGCCCTCGCGGAGCAGGAGGCCCTTCCGCGCCACGACCTCGTAGCGCATGGCGCAACAGTGGCGGGCTGCCCCGCTCGGCGGGCCCCAGCGCTTCTCGCCCGCCCGAGGTCGAAGTTTGCCGGCAATGAAGCGAGTGAAGCATTTGAACGGGCCGCCCGAACGAAGGCTGCGATCGGGGCTGCTGCCTCGCGCGCCCGGGGCCGGGCGGCTTCCCGGGCCGGCGGCTTCCCCGAGCCGCCATGGACCCGCGGGCGACGGTGCCGCCGCACGCGTGGCAGGTGAAGATCGAGGAGCCCCTGCGCCTGCCCGAGGCCCTGCGCTGCCTGCCGGAGAAGGCGCCGCGCGAGCCGAAGATCTCGAGCCGGCGGCGGCCGAGCTCGCCGGCGGACCGCGCGCGGCCCCTCCGCCGCGTCATCTCGCCGCTGCTCGAGTACTGCTCCGGCGGCGCGCCCGCGCCGCCGCTCGGCGTCGCCGACGGCGCCTCGCCGTCGTTCGACGACGGCGAGAGCTTCCAGGAGACGGAGGGCTCGGAGCCCCCGGACGAGTCCCTCGGCGACGACTCCTTCCAGGAGTCCTCGGGCCGCCTGTCGCCGAGCGAGCCCGTCTACCTCGTCGGCGGCTGGGTGCCCGTCTCCGGGCGGCAGCGTCCCGACTCGCCGTCGAGCCCGCACTTTCTCGTGAAGCGGTGCCCGTCGTCGGGCTCCTGCGACAGCGGCGCGTCCTCGAGGGACCTGCACGCCCGCGCCGCCGGCGACGTCGCGCCGCGCGAGGCGAGCGACGTGACGCGCCCGCTCG